TATGAGATTAAAAAATAAAAGTCTATGAAATAGGTTTTTAATTAGTTTATCATATACATCATATACAGGTATTTAGATTTTTTATTTACATTTGTAATATAAATAGAGATATTGTTTGAAAACTCAAATCGTTATATCTAAACATTTTAGGCACCGTTAGGTGTTGACCACATTTCGCGCACTTATACACCACTCGAGGCTTTATAGCGATGGTGTGTGAGTCAGACTACGATAAGGACCTACGGGTGCACTTGTGGTACTACCTATTCGTCTGGTCAAAAGTACCGGAGCTGATCGACACCCTGTTTATGAAGTTGAGAAACAGGCCGTCAGTGCATTTTGGTATCATTGGTGAACAGCCGGGTGAGTGGGAGTCCCGGGTGAATATCTATTTTACATTTTATTTTTGCAATTAACTTATTATTTTATAAATTTTAATTTATTTAAAAATACTATAATAGATATGTTAACAATAACTTACAATAACTTTGTTAACAATACATAACAATTAGGAATTGATTAGAAAATAGTTGTGTTTTAATCAATCAGTAAATGAATAAATATTTTTTAGCTTTTATTGTCTAACTTTCAAACATAAGCCGATATATGCGATACACATGTAAACCAAAGTCCAGGCCATGAGTGCAATGGGACACCACTGGAGGGCCGACACATCGAAACCCAGGGATTCAATGACTTGCACTCCAGAGGTATAACTAGTCGTCGATTGCGTGGTGTCTGTGGTGTCGGACGACATGTTTCCCACATTTGGCCACTCGTTCACAACCAACGATTGGTAGCCATAAAAGCTTAATGAGAAATACTGCAACCATTTCAACCACCCGGGTATTGTATTAAAACAATGATATAAATTTAATTTCCAATTAGTGGTATTTAGAAATTGTACCCTGTTGACTGTAAACTGTTGATGAAAAATGCACCAAGCACGCTCAGTGGTTCCATAGTTGATCCCAGTATTAGATTAGCGATCGTAAAGTTCGGAGTTATAGTTGATATAAAGAATCCTATATTTAATGTAATTGTTTAATATTTAATAATGATTTTTAATTTTTAATATAATTTTTTATTAATATTAAATAGAGTTCTAGCACATTTTAGCTTTTACTATCATACATTAACGTAAAAGCTATATTGTAGAAATCTAATTCAATATTTATTTATTACCAAACATCCAGGAACATATAGCTGCCAAAATTACAGTACCAAGGTATATAAAAAATGCTTGTAGTGTTGGCACCCATGGGCTCACTATTGTTCTTACGGCTCATTGAATGTGATTTAGGGCTGCGTTTGGGACGGCGTTTGGGGTCAGGTATGCGATGAACACTCCATTTGTGTCCAATGAGATTCAATTCAAATTTGAAACCTTTGCCACAATTTTTTCTGTATGCCGCTATAGATAGCTCTCTGCTTAATGGTAATATTTATGTTCACTAATTTACAATACCTGTAAAGGTTTGTTACCAAATTTTTGGTTTAAAAGTAAAATTCCATTATAGTGTTAATCAAGGTGGTTTTTAAATGATTTTCTTTAACTAATAATTTTAATAATCGCAAATTTTGAAAGTTTTTATGATTTACTAATGGTCTATTGTACAGTATTATTTATTTTGTATTTAATATTTGAATAATAGGGACATCAAAACTTTTGTAGTGTACTTACTGAATGATTTGTAATATTAACAATAATAATATTAAAACAATCTTGATTATTTATTTTAAAAATACAACTATTGACAGCAAAATAGCAACAGTTTAATAATTATATTTAATTATTTATCATGCTCCGTTTCTCGATGGTAATATAGCACCGCTGAGTGTAACGTATATTTAGTAGACGTTTATATTGCAGCGGGACGTCAGTGCGCGCCGACCGCCCGAATCGGTAGCGTGCGATCACGTGACACATTGCGCGCTTAGTCACGAATAGCGCGAACCGCGTGCCGACACAGTTACGTCGTCCGGCACCGAACGGTAGGTACGCGTACGGCACTAACGTAGAGGCATTTTCGGGCATGAATCTGTCCGGGTTAAATTTGTAGGGTTCGCTGTAATATTCAGCCGAATGGTGTATGGCGTACAAAGGGATTTCAATGTGCTGACCCGCCGGTATGGTAATGCCAGTATCGCCTAATAAATTTTAGATTTTTAAATTTGTGTTAATTAACTAACATATGAATCCCAGAGACTCGAAGTGACTTATCTCTCAATACAAATATTAAGCTACGCTTCATAGGCTAATACTATGTGACTTAAGCCTAAACAATTTATAATACAGTCTGTATTTGTATTGAGAGATATGTAACTTCGAGTCTCTGGGATTCATATGTATAATAAAGTGTATCATTGAAAAGTTTCATTATGATTCATTTTGTATTAGAAACAATGAACCTAGCTGATAATCCGTGGAGGCCATTCGCATTAATCGAACACTTGGTGAATGTAGGCGCAGGGTCTCCGACACGACGGCATCCAAATATGGCAAACGCTCGCACGCCTCGTACGACATGTCATTATCGAGATCCGCTATTTCGTTGTATAGGCGGCGCTGAATCGCAGGATTTAGGGCCAACTCGTAGACGCAGGCGGTTAGGGCCCATGCGGTGCTTGTAATACCACCGGTCGAAAAGGCAAATGACAAGGCTAACAGTTCGGTGTCCGTATAAACAGGTTGACTTATAGCCGTAACATGGTCTTTTAATACGAAATAGATTAATAATTATATACAGCGTGTTTCACCAGTAGCTGGTAGAGGTTCAGGCTTATATCTCAATAAACTATTAGGTGAAACAGAAAGTCCGTGGAAAAATTCATTTTAATATATCTCCCAAAGTACAAATGACAGAGAATATTGCTATATATCATTAATCGACATATTTACCCCTGCTAAGGGTAATAGCCCTCCAGCGGTCGGGTAGCATCGTTACCCCCTTCGAATCTTTCTTTTTGTTAACCTCCCGAATTACAGTTTCATAGTCGTGGATGAGTTCATCTCTTGTTTGGAACTCCTTTCACTTGAGTGGAGCTTTTATATGATGAATACCATGCATGCCCGGGGGCCACATATCAGGGCTATAGGGGGGATGATCTAATTCCTCCCATCTTTTTTCCTCCAAAAACTCCCTTACAATGCGATGTTTGTGTGGTCTAGCATTATCATGTAAGATGATAGGACGCCCAAATTTCTTTCGTGTAACTTCCGGAAGTAAAAAACCTTCATAAATAATTGTTTTATGTTAATTTTAATTAATAAAATATTTCTCCAGGATTCTCCAGGAAATTGGGGATGAATTTATGTAAATCTCCAGGCTGAAAATTTTTAGAGTTGGCAACACTAGTAGGATAGGCTGTTCACTGGCACTGGTGTTCAGTGGTTGGTCAGCGCATGAGGTTTGCGTATATGATGGACAGGTAGACAAGTTTTACCATTTTCCCGGTTTTATTAATTAGTTTAAATTTTATTACAATAATATACAAAATCATAGCTCGAAGTAAATATTCAACATTTGAAAAGTAAACTCAAAAAGACAAATATTTCAATTGAAAGTAAAAATTGAAAGACTTATCTTATTATAACCGTTACAACTACGATCTCGGTGACTAAGTCACTAGATATTAGCCAAATAGCCAATTAAAAAAGTTATATACAGGAATACATAATTATTAAAAATTCTTAATAAGCAACTACTTGTATTATGTAGCAAAAACTCCCTTACAATGCGATGTTTGTGTGGTCTAGCATTATCATGTAAGATGATAGGACGCCCAAATTTCTTTCGTGTAACTTCCGGAAGTAAACGATGTTCCAGAAAGTTAAGATAGGTGATTGAGTCAACTGTCTTTCCTTCCTCTAAAATCTGATATGCAATGACTTCAGATTTCCAAAGTGCCACAATCATCATGCACTTCCAGTCCTCTAATGTTTGCTTTATTTTCTTTGGCCTATGTTGAAAGATATAGAAATGCGGAGGGTTTGAAATTTTTCATATATTCAATCTAATGTTTGCGTTATTTTCTTTGACCTATGTTGAAAGATATAGAAATGCGGAGGGTTTGAAATTTTTCATATATTCAAATTTTCAAACTCATAAAACTCACGGCTTTTGTCCAGGTAATAACCATTCACTTTCAGCTTCAGAGTCCCTCGGGTCATAAGATTTTAGCAATTAAATGTAACGCCATTTATTCTAATCTACACAAACTAGTCTACAATAATTAACAACCACAAGGTCATCTGACTCAGCATTTTGAAATGAGAAGATAAGATAAACATTCCACACGCTATGGTGATAATTCATACCTTCACTTTCAATCCATCAAATCATTCCATTACAACACCCATCTATCTATTATGGTTCAAAAGTTATCACAGTATCAATATTTTTTTTAGGTAAACACTTGTAGGTCAAATGACCGAATACCATACGAGACGATAGTGGGTGGGTTCAAAAACATCGAAATCCCCATAGGAATACATTGTGTACGAGAAGTTAAGGGTTGTGTCCAAAAACACCGAAATCCCCATAGAAATACATTAACTCTACGAGGAGTTAACGATTGTTCCTTAAAACATCAAAACCTTTCGAAAAAATTATTTATTCTAAGTAGGCCTTTTAGGTCGTAGGCTTTTTGGGCTTTTTAGGCGTTTTGGAAAAAGTAGGCCTTTTCGGTAGTAGGCCTTTTGGGGTAGAACCGTTCATTCGAGCTTGCATTTGTCGCCCAGTTAACTCTTTAGGGCACCACCTGGACCTTATTTTCTTGGCACCAATTTCTTTCAAAAGTGTCAGCAAGCTGGATTTTGAGAACTAAGCCAGACTCACGTTGATACCTTGCAAGATGTTTACCTGCTATGTTCATTCGAGCTTGCATTTGTCGCCCAGTTAACTCTTTAGGGCACCACCTGGACCTTATTTTCTTGCGTGGTTAAAGAAAGTTTTCACAGTCATTCGACCTAAAACTCTTGACTCAAAGTATTTGGTTTAGAAGGCAAGCGTAAGGAAGTGAGAGATTCTACTCGACCGCTTAGGAAAGAAATAAGAGCAGTACAGTGGCTGTCCGTGGTCTACCCGATCTTGGTTGTTCAGTGATATCGGTTCGCTTTCCATCCCTAAAATCACCATACCATTTGTATACTGCACTTTGTTGTAAACCAGTATTTGGGAGAGCGGTTTGTAGTTGGGCTAAAACTACACGAGGTGATGTATCAAGTAAAACATTTATCTTGATAAAAGCCCTTTGTTCTTCGAGGGTGACACTATCTCGAAGTTGCTCCAAATTTTGGGCCTTCATATAAAAGGTTACCAAAACTAAATAGATGAACGCAATTAAATGTAACGCCATTTATTCTAATCTACACTAACTGGTCTACAATAATTAACAACCACAAGGTCATCTGACTCAGCATTTTGAAATGAGAAGATAAGATAAAAATTCCACGGACTTTCTGTTTCACCTAATATATATTATTGATATTTTAAAATCATTATTACAAATCAATAATTACCAAAAGTTGTGCTGCATGCCATTAATAGCAGTAAAACACCCAGGAATATAAAAAATTCTAGCGGGCTGAGATAGAGACCAATAGTGAAATAAATAATCACTAAATATATTACATTTATTAATAAATTCACGGTCAACTGTTTAAAAAATAAAGAATTTGAATTAGCATTGTAATATATTTTTGTGTATTAATGCATAAATGATATTCTAGTTATATTAGTATTAACTTGTTAAAATCTATTTTAATTGGAAATTTTATTATACTTTCATAATCACAATTTCTAATTATTGTTTATTAATATTAGCTAGCTAAAATCAGATATTAATGTTTTGTATACTGCACCAACCTGGATGATAATGGTCGACAAAAAATATGGTAACACAGCGTACGTACGGTTGTGGTGCTCCCTATACATCAGTGGCATCTCCTCCACTAATGTCTTACAATATATATATAAAGAAAATATATGTGAAAAATCACCTAGGACGGCGTTCACAAAGTTCGTAAGCAAATTTAATGCAATAAATGACCCCAACACGCCCATTGTACCTATTAATTTATCATGGTGGCACACACATTGGCGGGATCCCACTCTCAACGTGCGCACGTACTTTGTGAGCGCCGCATAATATTTAAATAATTACCACTGAAGCATAATATATGGGTGGCATAGAAGTGGCCTGGATAAGCGTAATAAGTGCTCCCATGATATTACTCGCATCGGAGTAGGCGTTTCCAATATTGTAAAACATAATACACAACCAAAATGCAGTAATCTGTCATATAGATAACCATTGGAAATTAGTGTTCAAAACTTTACAATGCTAATAATAGTTACCAAATACATAACCAATCGGTCTAGTAGCAATTGGGGATTACGGGTTAGGGTTATATACGAGCGCCAGAATAGGGTCACAAATTGTCGCCAATAGCCAGCCATATAGCCCGTCCCCAGAATCGGTATATTTATTGCAGGCGTTCCTCGAGTGTTGTTTTCATTCGCATTAATAACGACATCAGTATAACTCGATTCGAGATAATTGTCGCAAATTTGCTGTATTTTTAAATACTTTCAATAAATTAATTGTTTAAAAGACACGAAAATATGAGAAAAATTACATTAACTTTGCGTTTGGTTTGCGAATAATTAGTGTGTGTTATGGCTGTTGTGGGCGTAAAATAAATGTAAAACTAACTCCTATTCAGCTATTTACAAATATAAGTCTCACCCAGTTGCTTTAAATAATAATCGCACGGATTGTAGCTTTTTGGACAAAACTGTTTTTGAAAAAATAAAATAAAAGTTTTAAATTGGTATTCAACTGGATTTCAAGTCTTACTAATCCTTGCGTTGAAAAGAAATTCTTGGCGTCACCTAAAAGTGCAATACATTTAGAAATTATAATTATGTTATTATAGCAATTAATTTATATTTGCAATACCGATGGACCCCATGAATGCTACCCTTCCGTCGGCCATAAGTAATAGACTGTCGAAGAGTTCAAACACTTGAGACGAGGGCTGATGTATAGTACAGATGACAGTCCGTCCCTCCGATGCCATAGACTTCAGCACTTGTACTATACTTTTGGCCATAAATGAGTCCAAACCAGTGGTCGGCTCATCGCTAATACATTCAAACATATTATTATTGTTTATATCAAAAGATAATTACATTTGAGATGTATTTCTGACCAAAACATTAGCGAAGGGTTTGTGAGGACTTCTGACGCAAAGGACAGTCTTTTCATTTCTCCGCCGGAAATGCCTTTAAAATGATTTTTATCTCCAATCCTTGTTTCCGCACATTTCGTTAAATTAAACTAAAATATTTAAATTAATTACTAAAAATAATTATTGAATATCCGGATAATTTATATAAACCTTGTCTATAACCCGTTGAATGCAATCTTGTCTCTCATTTTTATTCAAATTCCTATCCATTCTTAACAATGCCTTAAAATAAACTATTTTTCAGAATATTCTGTTTATAGTCTCAAACCCAATGATGAATACCTGAAACATGAGATGTTCTCTGACTGTAAGCATGGGTTGAAACAAATCGTGTTGTTGTATATACGAGGACATGGATGCAATGGTCTGTTGACTGACTGTCTGTCCATTCATGAGTACCACTCCATTGACGGACAGTTGCCGTAAATTTCTTGCCGTCAATACATTCAATAGAGTTGTCTTTCCGGCGCCACTGAATGTCACAACAAATTCAAAATGTTTTTAATAATAAATAATTAGAGATAAATAAAACAAATCAAAACTCTAGTCGTAATCATTGTTCACATAAAAATTATAATATATTAAACTTAACATGCTGTAATAAATATAATGTTTATGGTGTTTTTAAATATGTACCTTGCCCCCATAATTGCCAATAGACTTCCAGCGTTAACAGAACCAGATACTATTAATAAATTATTTTGTAATACTGTACTAGTATAAATAATATTTTTGTAAAATATAAGCTATAATACCGTTACGAATGATTTCCTTTGGCAATGTTTTATTTTGAAAGCAATTATACATAGATTTCTGTGTTTTAGTCGACACCCGGATATTAGTCCACGAAATACGCACCGAATGTATGGTCTCTCCCGGAGTCCTATTGTCGGCATTTATTTCAGACATTTTGTTGCATTAAATTAATATCTAGACTTAAAAAATTAAGTTATATTTTATATGTAGTTGAATTTTGTAGTTTATGTAGTTTAGTTGTAGTTGAGTTGAGCATTGTACATCCTGTTCAAATAATGACTATTAAGTTATTTAATAAATGCTGACTAATTATTTTAGTATTATAATATTAGTTAAAAACAATTTATTTGTCAATAAATTGAACAATTATAATAATCAATATATGAAATAGTCAATAAAATGTCATAATATATGTCATAAAATGTCAAATAAATAGTCAAATAAACAAATTTTGTGGAATTACATACTCAAAAACATACTCAGAAATTTGTGGCTATTTAGGGAAAAAACTTTTTTGAATTTATTTTTAACTGATATAGTTTTTTGAAAAATACAAATTAGATACAAATAACGACAATATAATAATAATTTTTTTTATTAATATTTAATTTATATTATATGAATTAAAACTTCAAACTTTATATGTCTGAAACTTAGTAATGCATTGGTTTTCACATTTAATATACAAAATAGTCTTAAATGTAGGGTGCGTTGCCATACATTGGATGTATAATACATACATGAAATCCCGCCCCTATTTAGAAAACTGTCAAATTTCTAATTATTTTCAATATTATTCAAACAAGTCTTGTAAATATTGTTTGAAAATCAAAATTATTATATTAATTTATTTTATTTGATTAAAAATGAGTAAAAGTTAATCATGTCATGTGTTTAGGAAACTTCCCAAGATGGTTGACAATATTTCATGCAATTTATACAACAAAAATATCAAAAACTGAGATGGATTGAAAATTTAACTTACAAAACATTTCAGATGTTTATTGTTGATTAGTTTTATATTCAATTTATTGATAAAATTAAAGTAACTATTTAAAAAGTATGAACAAATTAGATATAAATAACGACAATATAATAATAATTTTTTATTAATATTTAATTTATATTATATGAATTAAAGCTTCAAAGAGAGCCATATGTCTGAAACTTAGTAATGCATTGATTTTCACATTTAATATACAAAATAGCCTTAAATGTAGGGTGGATTGCCATACATTGGTTGTATAATACATACATGAAATCCCGCCCCTATTGAGAAAACTGTCAAATTTTTAATTATTTTCAATATTATTCAAACAAGTCTTGTAAATATTGTTTGAAAATCAAAATTATTATATTAATTAATTTTATTTGATTAAAAATGAGTAAAGTCATGTCATGTGTTTAGGAAACTTCCCAAGATGGTTGACAATATTTCATGCAATTTATACAACAAAAATATCAAAAACTGAGATGGATTGAAAATTTAACTTACAAAACATTTCAGATGTTTATTGTTGATTAGTTTTATATTCAATTTATTGATAAAATTAAAGTAACTATTTAAAAAGTATGATATAAGTCAATATTTACTATTTTTATGCCTATTTAGAAAAATACATGAATAATACACGATATACATTGTATAATACATGTATAATACATGGCAGAAAAAATATCATGTATTATATCCACCCTACTTAAATGTGAAAACCAAAGCATTACTGTTTCAAACATATGGCTCTCTTTGAAGTTTTAATTGATGAACAGTTTTTGTTTTTATTTACAAATCAGTCTAACGTATGATATGGAAACCTGTTTCAGTAAAAACCCTGATTAGTTAAATACAAATTCATTTTTCATAAAAAATGTGAATTAATCAGGTCATTATTTTATATAGTCACTCATTGTATGTATATTAAAGGGGCAATTATTCAATGAGTATTATTTTTGAAAGCTTAATTTAAGGGATTACTTGGTCATTTTATTTTCCCTAACTTGTAGCCAC